TTATTATATTTTTATCGAATTGAATATTAATAGTTGCGTTTTGTTACAGGGATGACGGGTAATTGAAGATGGCATCACCGACACCGTCAATAGAATCCTTACCACGAGCAAACTCAATTGGATCCTTCGGTGACCAGGTAGAATATCTGTCCCTTTCCCCATTGGCGGGCTCCCCCGGATCGTCCCCCCCAGCCAGCGACTCAGTCGATAGAGACAGCGACCCCACGGAGCTCCATTGCGAGCAGTGCAGAGAACCGGTCTCCGATCCGAAGCTTTTGGCCTGCTTTCACACGTTCTGTAACTTGTGCTTGGAGCGCAACAAGTTGGTCTGCCCACGTTGCAATACCGAGTCGATTGAAGGTATTCTGAATAATTTGCTTAGTTCCGACCAAATTGAGCCGTTCCAGCCGGCCACTCCGCGCTGCACCGGCTGCAAAAATAAGAAATTCGACGCCGTTGCGCGCTGCGTTGATTGCGTCAACTACCTGTGCTCCCATTGCCTGATGGCTCATCAGTTCATGCACTGTTTTGAGGGCCATCGTCTACAGAGTCTGAACGAGACCAAGGACGAGCCCAGAAACGGGTTCATACCAGTTGGAAGCAACATGGCCAACAACAGCGAGAAGAGCTTAATCTGCCCCAAACATAAAGGCGAACTGATCAAGTACTTTTGCCGAACCTGCTCCGTGCCCATTTGCAAGGAGTGTCTCACCTTGGAGCACCCGTCTAATCTGCATGAGTGTGAGCTGATTGGCGACGCTGTTCCGAAGCAGATCGAGGCCATCCACCACGCGGTGTCTGAGGCCAAAGTGAAGGCGACCGACATCAGGAACACCTTAAAGAACGTGGAACACGCCAATAGCCGATTGCAGGTCCAGTATCACAAGGCCCAAACGGAAGTGAATGAAACCTTCCAGTTTTATCGCTCGATGCTGGAGGAGCGCAAGCAAGAGCTACTGAAGGAGTTGGAAAGCGTTTTCTCCGCGAAGCAAATGGCCCTGAATGTGGCCACCGATAAGGGGCAGGAGACGATCGACCAAATCTACAAGACGTGCGAGTTCGTGGAACGACTCAACAAGTGCGCGAACGTGGTGGAGATTCTGATGTTCCGCAAACTGCTGGACGCCAGACTGCAAACGATGCTCACATACAATATGGACCAAAGCGTGCAATCTGCATCCGAACTGGAATTTGTCTCGAACTATCAAGCCATCCAAGTGGGAGTGCGTAATACATTTGGTTACGTGCGTTCAAACTCAGAACCGGTTGTGGGCCCCAGCAAGCAACCGCCGATCGCTCGACCAACAGGAGGCAGCAGCTCAAGCGGAAGCAGCGTAAACGGCAGCTCGGGCAGCTTGAATGGCGCCATCCACTGCCCATTCGGACTGACCAACAACAGCCAATCGACATCGCCTTTCGAGTCGAACATTCTCAGCAAACGCTTCAGCAGCGCCAACAGCTTGGGCCCGTTCTCCACCACCATTGGAGAGATGAACATCAACCCCTATGAGAAATGGTCGAACGGGGGCGCTACCGATAGCATTTTCCAAAACGGCAGTGTGGATCCCTACTCCTTGACCGGGCCTACTCATCCAGATCCCATGCTGGACTTGACCTCCAAACTGTCAGTGGCGATCTTCCCGCCCAAGAGCCAAATCAAGCGCCAGAAGATGATCTACCATTGTAAGTTTGGCGAGTTTGGCGTGATGGAGGGACAGTTCACTGAGCCGAGCGGTGTGGCGGTGAATGCGCAGAACGACATAATCGTGGCGGACACCAACAACCATCGCATCCAGATCTTCGATAAGGAGGGCCGATTCAAGTTCCATTTCGGAGAGTGCGGCAAGCGCGACTCGCAGCTGTTGTACCCGAATCGAGTGGCGGTGGTGCGCACTTCAGGAGACATCATAGTTACAGAACGGTCTCCGACCCATCAGATCCAGATCTACAACCAGTATGGGCAGTTTGTGCGCAAATTCGGCGCCAACATTCTACAACACCCGCGAGGCGTCACCGTCGACAACAAGGGACGCATCGTGGTGGTGGAATGCAAAGTGATGCGGGTCATAATTTTCGACCAAGCTGGCGCGGTGCTGCAGAAGTTCGGCTGCTCCAAACATTTGGAGTTCCCCAACGGGGTGGTGGTGAACGACAAGCAGGAGATTTTCATCAGCGACAATCGCGCGCATTGCGTGAAAGTGTTCAGCTACGAAGGCGTCTACCTGCGCCAGATTGGAGGCGAAGGTATCACCAACTACCCGATCGGGGTGGGCATCAACGCCAATGGCGAGATCCTGATCGCCGACAACCACAACAACTTCAACCTGACGATTTTCACCCAGGATGGCCAGCTGGTGTCTGCTCTCGAGAGCAAGGTGAAACATGCCCAGTGCTTTGACGTGGCCCTCATGGACGACGGCTCCGTCGTGCTGGCCAGCAAAGACTATCGCCTCTACATCTATCGCTATGTACAGGTGCCCCCTATCGGCCTATAGGCTACTACTATCCCACCAGGGTCTCCAGCTGCAGCCATTCCCTACACTTTTTATTGATGCATTTTTGAACGGAGTGGTCGGACCGCTGGTCTGTTGACGTTGAATTAATTTAGTTGGCGAAATTACAACAATACTGCAAATTGTCATAGTTTTGTATTCGATGTTGATATTTTTATATTTTACCGTTTGAAATGATGAGTCGGAGCAGACACACGGGCTCGAAATCGACCCCGCCGACACCAATGATGTTGATTGACCAAATTATCAATTTTTGAAACAGGGATATTATTGAAATTAGACATGTTAAGCCAAGCATCGAGGTGCCTGGGCCGTTGTTGTAATCTTAATCGAACATCATCCTATGATATGATAATGATCTATTTTAATATGCGTGTATGTTGTGAATGTCTTTAGAAATAGAGCATTGTTATTTGCGGGAAGCCGCGTTGTTAGCGACCCTAGTCACCCCTCAAACCTTGTTTTAGACTTTAGCCGCGGGCGCGAATGGTTCCGTCCTCGGACCCATTCTGCCGAAATTCGAATTTCAATGAAACTGCATTGAAACTTGAACCGTTCCACGGCTATCATGTATTGTTCAATTTTTATATTCCTCATTCGTGAATTTGGATGAATATTTATAATAAACGACCACGCCATCTTATATAACATCGCGTGCCGTGCCTACCGTAAGCTTCTTCCGTCGCCGGAATTCTCCTCCTTTATGTTTAGTACCTTAGTTTGTTTTTATTTTTTTATCATTACTTACGTTTCTAAGTTAGCAAAATACACGGTTCTGCAAGCGTACATACATACGGTGCATGCAATACCTTTCAAACCACTTATTTTTCGATTTTTATTTTATTTAGTTGTAGTCGAAGTAGTAGGTTTTTATATTTGTTTGTTGATGCTGCCAAGTTTAAGATAGCGACGCGCATGTGTCCTTTGGAGGGAAGCTTTGTGTTACCATTGCTTGAAATCAGACGAATTCAATTTCCTCGCCCAGACCATGTTCGCTCCGTGCTTCGGCACTCCAAGACTATTACGTAGTAGTTAGTTCTTTTTTATTATTATTTACTTAGTGTTTTTTAAGTTTTGTTAGTTAATACTACTGCTGCTTGAGCTCGCAACAGGTCCCATTATTATCCACATAGTTTTTAAGATGTTACACGTTGTTCATGCGAAAGTTGCACCTATTATTATTAACTCGTTTTATATTGTTTAGTTAGGAGGTTAAATGCAACATAAAACTCGTTTGGGGAATATTATTAAGGCCACTGCAGTTTCTATCGCATTGATTCTGGACGAGGATCCTCGCGCACAAACGCATTTTTTCCAAGTTCACCGTTGTTTTTATTTTATCTGAAGACTGAGTATTAAAGCTAGAACAAAAAAATGGAATGAATATCATTTGTGGATTCATCGGACTATTTCCGATGCATCCTCCAAGGCTGAATTGTTTTCGATATTGCTAGACGAAGGTCCGTCGCTTAGTTCGCCGATCTGCTGTCCGAGACGTTTGAAAAACCTGAGCATCAGTATTATTTCCTAAATCGTATATTTTACTGTTGATTATTGCTAAGTTAGGTAAATAAGTATTGACTTTTTGAGAGGGCAGAAAAGCAGTTAAATCAATTTTTCACTCAAGGAAGTATCGTAATGCGAGTTATTGCTGCATCTAGATAGTAGATGGGTTTCCTAAACGTTTTTGAAAACAACTAAGCCAGCTTGCTAAGCCTTTCGGAGCCAGACTGCAATATTCTAAACGACTCGAGTAGTACTTAATTTGACCAATTTGAGGTTTAGTAATATTAATAATAATAATAATGGGACCAAACACAGCTCACGTGGTGCATCGTCTGACATTTTTAGTAAGGATAATTTATGCATTATTTATATTTTTTACTTGTTGTTGTTTATCGATAACGAAGGCATTAAAACCGCGCAGTTGAGAGATCTCAATCCTATTTCAACTTCGCAAGGCATTCTGAAATCGGGCTGGTTTCCACTTCGATTTCGGCTCGAAAATGGCAACTTTTAAAAGCAATTAGGTTCAGTTATTCAGTTCTAAACATGCCCCAGTCGGCCTAACATTTTTGGTATGCACCCGATTAATGTTGTTTGTTATTTTAGCTCATTATTGTCATATCTTACTTATTATATTCTATTGTTCCTCACATCGGTCCAAGTGCGTACCGAACCAAACAATCTCAACCAAAAATCCAGCCCGTATACAATACCCGTCTCTACATTTTTAACGTTGTTGTTATATTAGTAATTTAACGGTGAAATTGTTCTTAAAGTCAATTTGTACATTGTTTTGTTTTTCTTTGATTTTTTGTTGTAAATGCTTTTTTACTTAATAATACCATTAATTGCAGTTTATCGTTAGTTTTTTTTAGTACATCCCACCCTTTTTTTTTTAGTTACGTTCGTTGCCTGTTCACCGTATTTAGAGCGTTCATGGACTGTGTAGATTTTGCTTTGTAGATTAGTTTTGGCGAAATGAGCCCCAAACTTTGCCACAATCTTTTCTATAAACAATGGGGAAAAAACATCGCAAACGCGTGTATAAATTTCTCAAAAGCCTCGTCTAAAAGCTGGCTTTTCAGTAATTTATGGCAAAACCGAAATTTTTCAGTGCGCTACATGCAAAAAGCGTTGGTGTTATTTGTGTGTAATTTGGAGCGATGGTTACTATACTAGTAAATTCCATAATGTTCCATGAGTTAAACATGCTGATTTGCCTGCTTGTATTTGGGCCAAAAATAATTCTCTTGAACAAACTTAACCGCATTTAGTACAAAACTTGCAACCCTAGAAAAATCTGTATTTTGCAACCCAAATTTCAACTTTTCCTCTGGTCGTTACACATAGAAACCCAAACAAAAGCTGAACATACACAGTTTGGGCTGTATTATCTATCTGTGGCCTTATCGGCGCTTATCACAGCCCCAGCATAAACACCCCCCTAAAGCCGATAATAAACCATTGTTTCGATGAAAATGGCGTTTAAAAAGTTTGAGAAAATGAGCAAGGCTCTTGGAAAAGTTGAATTTTTATAGGCAAATTCTGGTTTGCCTGCGTTCTGCAAAAAAGTTGGCAAGAATTGGAGACGAAGTGTTATTAAAATGCATCACATCAAAGGTATGGGTACCATTGGGCTCAAAATTCGACCAGAATCAGACACTTAGGCAGTGAACTACACAAGATGGTTAATTTGCCCCCAAAAACCTGCTGAAAAAGCATCAAAGAATCAAGAGAAGATTCCCAATTATCAAAAAAAAATATCAAAATTAACATGTTGGCCTGGGCACAACTGAATAATAATAAAGGAAGAGGCCAGACTTCAGTTAGTCGAAATTTTCAAAACCAAATCCTTTGATTAATATGGCAAATCCTGCTCGAAGACACACGATGTTTTTTTGCAATTTTCGACTACACGCATTCAGGCAGTTCATTCGGCCTTGTTCACTATTTTTTTCACAAAACAGCAAAAAAAATTCTGGTGTACATCTTGTCTAGTGGATCTTACCACTAATGTCTTGGATTAATAACCCTGTTTTGAAATTTTTAACCAACATCCAGAAAACTGAGATTTATTCACTAACAGTTGGAGTTGTGCGGTTTTCTACTGAAATTTGTTGGAAAAGAACGGTTTATGTGCCCGCTGGAGCCAAGTTTTGCTTCAGAAGATAATTCGATCAAACGAAGTTTCCAGTTGAATTGGCACTTTTAACCGAAAATTTTCAATATGCCCCGAGTGGCCTAAGTATTTGCCTACAGCACCCCAATATTGCTTTCGTTAGGGGATATTTTCAATACTTCAAACCAGCCTTACTTATCGTTATTACTTTTCCTCATCGTATCCTTGAAAAAGATCCCCAAAAAGAGATTATGCTTGTTATCGGAGCTTTTCTTTTGTTTTCAATTCCTATTTCACACAGAATGCTGGAAAGTTTTGAGTGAGGAAGAATCAAAATTGGTTTAAAAAAAGCGATAAATCGTCAAGCACAGAGGAATTGGTGAAGTAATCTTATTTAATTTTCACCACATGTTGCATATATCAAAGGCATTAGTTAGATCTTCTAATGTTCCCCAATCAAGCCAAATCCCAGTTCAATAGAAGATGGTGAATTTAGCTTTTGTTGTGTGTGCTTGTAGATTTGAGAAGTGTTTTTTTTGTTAGATTTTTATTAGTTCGAAGCTATACTGAGCACGGCACCGCCGAGATGCAGCCTCTATCTCTATTTTCTCGTACTTTTATACTTAGATCGTAAGTAACACTTAATATTTTTCTGTGAACGAAGCTTTTGTGTATAAGTAATATCTTATTATAAAACTAAATATTCGAACAATCTTCCTGGGCCCAACTAACAAATCCTATATAGTATAGTTATATAGGCATGTGTGATTTTTCGTATCATAGTCATTAGTATTTAGTGAACATTTAGATGTTAAAAACGAACTTGTTGTCTGAAAATCTCACTTGTAAGTGAAATTGATCATGTCTAGTGTTGTTTAATAACGATTATTGCCATTACGGGTGGGTTTTCAATTATTGTAATAATTATTATAATAAGAATAATAATTAGCAGATGATATTTTTTAGTATAGTCTTTAGACAATTATATCTAGAACGTGTTCCTATAGGAGTTTGTTGAACACGCAAATTATTATAAGTGTGATGTTTGGAACTAGATTTATTGACAAACGCCTATAAGGATTTTTGAACACAATCGGGCGGCTTTTTCGTGCCACTGGTGGCGGATTTCCACTTCGGAACAAAACTGCCGGGTAATTTTCAAATGCTCTAAACTCCACTTAAATAGCAATGGATGGATTTTTCGAGCCTGAAATCTCCCGAGTAAAAAACCTATTAAGATCGTGAGGAACTGGAAACAGTTAAAACTCTAAGCTCATCTTCTTGAGTTTTTGTTTTCTTGGGCTGTTCAGTTTGAGGACAAAAAAAACATCATTTCCGTCCTTCTGGGATTTAGATTTGAGCACAATTCTTTCAATTTACTATTAGTAAGATTTCGACAATCCATCGTACATGTCAGCCACATGTCTTCCTCTATTTCTACGTATACTCTTTCATATGTCTCAATGTTTGTTAAGCGATTATTATACAACGACACTGTTTTAAAATTTCGGATGTTATGGAACCAAAGCACACACCCAATATTTTGTGGTTGTTTTCAAATAAGAAGCAGAATTATTTTAAAAATTTGTAGTTTGCAAAACACCTGTTTTCGAAACATTGTAACGAACGTTTTTTTCTAATGTATGTTTTTTTACATTTTTCAAGCAGGATGCATTATTTTTTTAGCAATTTGTTTCACACTTTCCTAGACCATCCAATTGTGCGACTTTTCGGTCTTTTTATAAATTTTCTTGAGCAATTCCTTCCAATACAATGTAATGAAAAAATTATTCATTTTTTGCATCAATTCCATTTGTCTCATTTTGTGTTTTTTTCAAAATCAATCTAATTTTGATCAAAACTAGTAAATCACTCAAGTTGGGCATTAAGATTTCAGAACGAAATTATGTAAATTAATCATTGGAATCCCGAACACTCCAGAACCCGCCATGCAATTATTCCGACCGACTTAATCCGTATTCTTACGATTCTCGTAATTGAGGAACGAATCAAATTCTCAAGTCAACGTTCAAGCAGCATTTAATTCGGCAGAGCGTCTTGATTACGGGTTTCTTGTGATTTGTTAAGAAACTAGATGTTTTAAATACTGTCAAGTTTCTGATTATTCACTTACCTTCCATCCGGTGTCAATCGCTTTGTTCATAGTTAAGGATAAAGTTAATGGGAAGAAAGCAGACGAATAGCTCAATTGTTCAGGACAAAAAATCAAGAGCCAGTAGAGTTTTAAATTTTAGCTCAGATTTTGGTAGTTTTTTTACTTTTCACTGAAACTCGATTGTGAAAATGACCCAGCCAGATTGAGATCCATCACCAGTTGCACTCAGACCGTTCTCGGCTCATCAATATCTTCGTCACTACTTGTTTTAAGACTCGACTAGTTTATCTTCTGCTCTCGCTTTTACATGAACATAAAAAACAGGCGTTCTGAGTTACATAGATATTTTTCGGTAAGACTGATTCAACAACACATTTCTTCTGGTAACGACTCTAGTGATATTAAATATGCAACTGTTCCGGCAAATAGCACGAACGCATTTGAATAGGTGGCTAATTCAGACGCACAAACTACCAATGGAAACTGGGAACCTTTTGGCAATGTTCAATGGAAACTAAGCACGATTTTTTGGTTCCCATTCTCCCTATGGTCCTACCTGATCATCCACTGGTCCGTGCCATTTGCTATTAGCTCGAAAAATAAAAGGTTACGTTAACTTTCATGTCAATTACTCTAGGGAACAGATCTCTTCAGGTGGAGTATGTAAATACCATACATTAGCATTTCTTGACTTCCTGTACTGCACAGTTTCCCAGCTTCTGGTTGCCATTGAATCTCCTGTAGCAGGCAGCTCTTGGTACAGATTCCGATCAAGCAGTTGGTCGAGCTCTGGACTGAAGATTTGCACAAGATATTTTGATATTTCTTTACCATTTAGCTCCATGGTCAGTATTAAGAATGGTAAATATCAGTGATTTCGCATCTGCTGCATGGGACTTCGTGATTACATTTTTATACTTACATTTTGCTCATGTTGGTAAGTAATTGTTGTTCTGCACTGTTAATCGCGCTAGGTCGCAAATGTCCACACCCCGAACACTTTACCTACTTTATCCACTGGTTGGGTTTTTGCAAGAGATTTTCCAGTAGTGTCCACTCCCTTGCCAGAACGTCAACCACGTAGTTAGCGACGAAACCAGAAATACTCCACATGAAGAAGTACCATTATTACTAAACAAACAATTCCGACACAGTCCAATAAAACCCGACGACGTTACTTGCCAAAAACTTTCACAAGCAAAAAGGTAAGCGGCTTAGTGCGTGGCTCGCTCGGAATTTCAATCTTCTTCGCCAACTTTTATTCATATTAAATAAGGTCCTAAGTTAAACGATAACTTTCTTAATATATCTGGATTATCCGGAACTTATCTGGACTTAATGCAGTTTCCCCACGAGCAAGTTTCCAAACAATGTGAAGCATTTATATTAAACATTAACGGGAAAAATTTATAACAACAAGCTGGGGAGCGTTCTGGTTTCGGCAGTAGTTCTCAGCCGTTGCGCATGATTGGAAACCTCTAAACAGACTGTGATTTATCGGAAATGCCTTCCTAAATCCCGACTCTATCACTTGCCATCGAGGCCAAAAATGTGAACCGGTTTTCACTCTTCATTCTTGCACATTTCATTCATAAACATCAGATTTTTAAAACACTTTTTCAC